GGCCCTTTCGCAAACCTTAGACATGATGGGGACTAGAGATGTCGTGTATTGGAAGGTTCGTCAGAGTCACCTGATTTAAGAATAGAGATGACTTCAACCAATTTCCATACTTGCGCAAATTTGTCTGAAGAGAACGAGGTATTAACAAGGTTCGTTATTTCAGCGATTGTTATTGTTAAGCTGTCTTTCAATACCCTGGCTATGACTTTATCAGGGCCGGGAGCTTTATTCGACGGTAGGGATCTTATGATCTTCCCGACTTCTTTTTCCGTAACTGGTTGAAACTCAAATAGAGGACGCCTGTCATCATGCAAACAGCTGTTCATAGGAGGTTGTATGGATTTATCGTTCAAAGAGTGAAATCCATGTTCTTCAGCAAGAGTTTTTGCCTTTAAAGCCGCAAATATGCCGACCGAGGTGTAATACTCGTTGAATTTGTTCGCTTGAGAAAAAGGATCTTCAGTTGTGCTAAATGGCGAATCCTTACGAGGAGGGCAACGATCTAGGACTTACCAAATGGAATTTGAATTTCCTTTGCTGTTTTGAAGTTCGGAGCGAACATGTTCCATCTCAGCAATTCGAATCTCACGCTTGACCTCCCTGACGGAAAAAACGATATGCATTTCAATGAACAACAGGCCTGTTACGCTTATATCTTAAAGACCTGTCGACGTACAAATCTTTTAATTATTGGGAAAATTATCAATTTCAATTATGTTATAGTTATGTTATAGTTAGTCCAGAGTCCAGAGTCCAGGGTCCATTCCTGATTTTAGCCTATGCTGTCTTTTGTTTTAATCGCACTTTTGTGCCACTTATCACGCGTTCTCATCAGCTGTCGAATTTCAGCTGTGATGCCGATTTCAGCTTAAGTGTTACACAAACAAGACTGTGGTCGCTGATTGTTGATGATTTCACCTCGCAAGCACATTAATAATGTTCTCGTTTGTTGTTAAGGCTATGTATTCGTATGTCCCCTTATGTATCCGTATGTTACCTAGGGGAAATACGGGGTTGAATGACTGAAACAATGGATTACTAATTTGGATAAACATCTTAATTTAAAAACATAAAAACATGAAATTTTATTTTCGACCCTATAATACGGAATGCTGGAATAGCGGTAATGCGGAAAATAGCCCCAAATCCTAAAAGACGGAATGTCACCCTTAATATTGAAAAAGAAAAGAAAAGAAAGTTCTAAGTGTTTGAAAATGACGAGATATGAACTTGACAGAGTAATTTTGTTGGTAAGATGTTCATTTGAAGGGAAAAAAACTCGTCTATTTAAAAGAATTGAAACATATTTACCTCCAACATTTAATACTTCGCGTTGATAGAAAGTCATATTCCCAAACCCCCTCATCTCAGAATTAATGACAACACAACAGCTTGGACACATCTTAATTTTCATTTTAATAACTTAATTTTCATTTTCACTTTTTTTACTTTAACTTCCACTTAATGTGACTATTTCACAACTTTTATGATTCCTAACGCAAAATAAAATAATTAATAGAGTAAAACTAAACATTGAAAAATGTAAAGAGCTTAGGATTTCATTTGCAAAGAACAAACCACAACTCGCGCCTATAGTAGTAAATAATCAAGAGCTAGAATGTGTTGAAAGCGCCAAATTACTAGGTGTTACGATCTCCAACAACCTTACATGGAATATGCACATTGATCAAATCAGGGGCACCCAACGAGAACATAGTTCAAAACCACTTAAACATAGAATTGTTAAACGTATTTTAGTATTTAAACGGTAGATATAGGCATATTTTTATCCCCTAAGAATTTTTCATCTGTTCGGATTTCCTAGCTGAAAGTCAAGTGATCCGAAAATTATAGGGATCAAAACTTACCCTTTCGAAAATTTTAGCCCGAAAAAAGGCTCCCGAAAATTCTAGGTGACCTTTTCAGGGTAAAAATCCGTTAAAAATAGGCAATTATACCATTTTTTAGATGTTCGAAAATCCTAGGAGAGGCAAGCAAGCAAGAAATTTTACAACAAATGTTCCGAAAATTCTAGATCTCAAATCGTCTTCCGAACAGATATTTTTCCGAAAATTGTCGTTGGGTGCCCCTGTCAAATCATAAAGAAAGCTTCTAAACGTATGTATTTCCTAATACAATTGAAAAGGGCCTACCCGCAAGGCATGAATTAATTCTTTTTTATACATCTTGTATAAGGTCAGTCATGACCTACGCATCGCCTGCGTTTTTCTACGCCCTGCCATTGTATTTAAAGAAAGATCTAGAGAATGTAGAGAAACGGGCACTATCAATCGTTTGCCCGGGACTGGCCTATAGCCGAGGCCTTAGAGCTTTCAAATGTTATGTCTATCAATGACTACATCGCTAGCTTATGTAAAAAGACCTTCCTCTCGATTGCTAATTCAGGGGCACCCAACGACCGTTTTCTGGGATCGAAATGATCTGAAATGGATCGTTATGCATCCTGAAGTGCTTTAAAAGCAATATAAATGGTACCCTC